GGAAAATAAGAAATTGTAAATAACGAGATTCCTCAAAAACTCGCTTTCAATAATGATATATCAAGAGTTGTTTTGATCACAATTCCACAACCGTCGTGTTTTCATAGAGGCTTAGAAGGATTCCCTTATTAACTCATCATGTTCTGCTGCTGTTTCGTTTGCTTGTATCATTAAACCCTCATATTAATACATTATCGTGATGTTCGCCTGTATCATTATCGCCAGAGTTACCAAACAGAGCCAACCCTGGCACTGAGCTGCAACCACTTTACGTGACACAGAATAAGAACCAAAATCATATTTGGTTGCTTAAGAGGATGTAAGAGATTGTAGTTTCCACATTAAAGCGTGTAGGTTTTGCGATTTTATTGAATTTTCATAAGCTTTGCTCAAAGTAGACTTAGATTTCTACTTGTTCTTGGTTTTATTAGCACTTCATCTGAATTTGAAACCATGTCGAATGGATCAGGCGGTAGAGCATTTCCACTTATCCACCGAACCACATGGTATATGCGGTTTTCACGGCAAGCCACATGGCCTCTTCCAATTCACATTTTATGTGGGAGCTGGTGCCGATGAGGCATATTTGCAATTGTTATTCAAATCGACGATATTGCTTTGTACCAACTAAGTAGCCTTCGAGACTTAAAGTGGATGTTACCAAACAATGTGAGCAGAAATTTCAGCTAGAATCCGATTAAAAATCATTTTAATATGTAAGGCTATGCGAAATTTAATGTCATTGTAAGACTTTTGAATGTGGGGAAATGAATCCAAATGGCTTCGAGTAACTTAAATTCCGTATATACAACTAGCTTCTAAACCTGCCCATTTTGTTTATCATTTGTGCTGGCTGCTTTTGGTTAGACGCTCAGTCTTTTCTCAGGATTCTGGATAGGACAGAAGCCGGATCGCAGATGCTAAGATGCGGATGCTCCATGGCTCCGACTCTCCCTCCTCATAAGCAACACTGCATGAACCCTAGCCAACTCGGAATGGATTAGCTCGCCCTTTATTTTCAGTTTGGCCCAAGTTAGAATTCGGCCTTCAAAGTGAAGTCACTGACGCCGGCAGGATTGTCCACAGATGAGATTCCAAAATATAACCGCCGGAGAGGTCGCCAACCTATCTCCAGAATGTTGTCGTTTTGGTCATTTTTCAGGATACTTGAGCCCCTATTCGGCGAAACTTCATGTTTAAATCTGTTGGGCGCATGGCATCTAATATAAAGATGTGAGGAGTATAAAAATCATTCGTATACTAAAAATAAACGGTAAAAAGCCAAAAACACAAAAAATGTAACATATACAATCTGTTCTAGCAACGAAAATCACCGTAGCTCGTCGCAAAAAATTATTTATAGCAATCTTGCCGGGCTTATTCAATTTATAATTAGAGTATGAAAGCAAAACTTAGCAAATATTGATCAGATAGTAAGAGGCAAGTAGCAAAACGCCAAAAAATAAGCATGGAAAGATCACAAAATAGCAAAGTTTTAGTAAGAACAAAGGCACAGTAAAATGAAACCAATACATTCATTAGCCCCTATTTAAATGATAAAAACAATCGTCTATCTTTCGTCTAACTAAACTAAGGCAGAACCAATAGTCAAATATCGCATAGTAAAAGTTAACTGCAAATGAGCAAAATGACAATTATTTCAAAAAACACAAACTGTTGGAAAAATGCCAAGAACACACACACACACAACACAACAAAGACCCTCTCTAACTTCTTCTTGGGTCGCCACACCCGAAAGCACTACAACACCATTCGGGAATGGGGCATCTCGGACAGTTGCAACCGAAATGTGTGTTGAAGCAGTGGATAAAGTTGTGCCAAGATGTAAAAGCATTTGCTATGGCTACCAATAAAGCTCGCATTGACGATTTTTTGACCTCGAAACAGGACGTCTCGGCGCAACACTATGGACCCTGAATTATAATAGCTCTCGGCGGATAGTTTATGCAAATCTTCGTTCGCTCGACAAATTGGCCATCTGCCGACCAGTGCCAACGGTTGACCCGATTAAAGGCTGTACCGATTTGTGAACCCGCTTTCGAGTAGAACATCAGCCGGCAAGTTGTAACGTAATGAGGCAATTAACAGCCTGTCTTTTTTCCGCTTGCGAGACATTGCGATTGACGGCAAAAACGGATCACGGCTGAACCGAGCCAAGGGCAGAGTGCAATGGATCGTGGTACCGTGAAGAAGACAAATGTGGCGAAATGAGCAGTCCACAGGCTGTTGGAAGAGTCTTGTTTTCGCGGCCAAGGTCCACTCCTCCTACAACCGGTTTAAGGACCTCGAGTTGTGTCCTCCGGCATTTCGACTTGACCCGACGTCCGTTTCTGCCAGACCATACAGAAAGGCTTCACAGGCTGTGGCAGACGGAGGGGAGCAGTTGAGTGGGACATGTCTTGCCTCGTTCGGCTCACAGTCTGTGTCTGACCGGTGATTGG